ATATCAACTTTGCATACACCACCAGAATAATAACAATTGACTGCAATGCGTTCTGAACAATATATAAAGCAAGAAACATGAGATACTTCACATACATTAGTAAACTGAAAATCCTGATTTCATAAACTTGTATATATAATAAGCTCGCACTTTCGCTTGATATCGCGTCTCGAAATCAATGCGTCGTGAATGTCGAACTTATGCCTCGCTCAAACAAGAAAATTTTTAGAACAAATAGTGAACGGCCTTGGAACATGATCTAGTAATAAAGGAACTCTTGATAGCGTTTTAATTTATCGCTCACATAAAATAAAAGTATTGGAGAAGCGCCTATTTTTAGGGTTACCGAATGGTAAATTGTCTTGTTTGAGCGAGGCATAAGTTCGACATTCACTACTACGTTTACTAATGTATGTGGGAGAAGCGCCTATTTTTAGGGTTACTGAATGGTAAAATCCGAGTCTGTGAGTCCCTTATTTTAAAATCCGAGCCAGAGCCTTTGCGATCTTCCGAGCAAAAAGCGATTTTAAACCCGAGACCCTTTATTTTTAGTGCCGAGATGCGAGCCTTGGGAAATGTTTGGCGAGCTTCATTCTATAATATTTCCGTTCGTAAGCAGTTATTTTCAAAAAGAAACGAGAGGACAGATCAAGAATCTAGTCGTCAGTAAAAGTCATTGTTCGTAGGTAAAAAAGGAAAGGGAAGCAAAGAAGACATACCTACAGGAATGACAACTGAGGTCACAAACACCAATGCAAAGAAAATCCTCATTATTGGAATTCAATCGCCAAGAAATTTCGCAGCTAGGAACTCAAATCTCTCGTCGTGGCTGGAAAAATAGGCGTGGATTTGTTTTTTTAACTTAAAAGTCGTTTTAGTGAGTCACAGACTTAATAAGGGATTATTGGCAAATGAGCCAATCGTAAGCCAATGCCTTTAGTGGTTTACATACCCATCTGCAAGAGTCATCGTGAGAAAAGTTTTGTTTGGCATAATGTTTAGCTCTATCAACGTTACCTAGGCAACGGAATTTGCATTTTGTCGAAATTCGTTTTTCGAAAATATCTCAAAAAATTGATGAGATCCAGAAAAGCGGTAGACGCCATCATTAACTTCAAACTGTTGTATAACGTTTTGGAATAGTTGAAAACAAATTCATCTTTTCAATTTCGAACAATATGAAAAAATCACACCCATTAAATATTTGTCAATATTACTCGAAATCGAACAGATGAATTTGTTTTAAATGTCATGACATTTATTAAATTAACATACGTCATATAAGTCTACCTCCGAGTCTGCGGCATATCATCTTCTACTACTACTTTTTGCTTGACTTATATACTAACTACACGCCCCTGGGGCGTGAAGTCGGACTAGCTATTTTTGAAAATTGATAGACACGAGTGAAAAGATTATGATGTTATATTCTGTTTAATCATATGATTATATTATGAAAGCAAATGAAACTTGAGAAAAACAGGAGGATATTACATAAAATATAAAAATTAGATTAAAATATATATTTCTTAATTTTTCTCCAAAAGATCCGAACTCACGGCCTAATAAGAGCGTCTAGTTCCAAATATCCAAACTCTCTTGAGACTAAAATAAACTTGACCTAAAAGGTCATTTAATTAATATAGCAATGAACGTTTTAAAAGAGTCCTTGCTTTCACTGATAAAATCAAACGTGCTATGTAGAGATCTGAAGTGACGCTAAGTGATAACGTTGACCTCTCAGGCCAAGAAGTATAGTTTACAACATGAGCGGCCGTGTTGTATGGGAATTACAATCTCGAGCCCCAGGCGAGAGATTGTAATTCCCATACAACACGGACGCGAATGTTGTAAACAACTTATAAAACTCCAACACAAATTAACATGAATTACAGTGAGATAAATGACAAAAAATGGCAATTAAGGAAACTGCTGAGTTGAGTCGCTATTAAGCATGCGCAATTTTCTGCAACACAGAACATTTTGAATAATTATCCATCCCACATGGAAAGCAAGCCAATCTGTTGCATAAGCGAGGTCTGTTATCCGTCTTTGATTGCTTCAAAACCTAGTGAAGGTCTATGATGCGACACTAAAACTGATACCTTTGCTAGTGTTGGGTTGTCTCAAGGTGACGACCGTGTTGTAAATCTTATACAACACTAGTGTTGTATCACAGTGTTGTATCTGATTTACAAGTTCAATCACCTGATGAAATGGACAACCCTTATTGGAGTAATAGCTCATGCATTATTAATAAGTTTTATAA